CACAATGTTCTCCCTCAAGCAGCCCAAACCCACCTTCAAGTCGTACCTTCTGCCTCAGGTAATCGCCTTTTACTGCCATTACCGACTTGCCCTCCCTGCCCTGCCTGCCCCGGGCCGCCGCTGTCCCTGGCCGAGGTGCCGCCCCGGGGCTGTGCCCGCTGGCCTCGGGGCTGTGCCCGCTGGCCTCGGGGGATGGCGAACAGCACCTGTGGAGGGACTGCCCGGGCCCCCGAGCCCTGCGGGGCACCGGGAAACAAAAGCTGCGCAGCCGGCTCGGGGTGCAGCCCCTTGGCCTCCGGGTCTCCGTGTCGGGCACGGACAGAGCCCGCTCTGTGGTCAGGAAGCGGGACTTGTATCAAATTGAAGTCTTGTGTTCATTAAAATTGTCCCGTGCGAGATTATTTTGGAAAGTTGTGAGTTACGCTTCAGGTGTTCGGGCTCTCTTTGCTCGCAGCGCTGGGCGGGATGAGGAGAAAGCAGCGGGCGCTACTCTGCTGTGCAGATAATGAAACTCTCACTTGTAGCCATCGTTTCACGTTTAGAACGGGTCTGATGGCATAAGTAAGAAAACCAAGTATATCTATCAAATATATATAGCACATACAGTACTGAGTATGTCAAGAACCACCAGGATTTTTTGTGTCATCTGGATTTGCACTTGACAGTGGCATTTATTTACTTTAGACAAAACAGGACCATTTCTAGCAACATATTTGACATGTTGACTAATTTGGTTTTTTCACGATGTCGTAGTAAAAGTGAGATGTCGATGTAACGCAGTTCTGGATATTCCTACTCCTGGGAAATGGTTATATTAGTATCATTGTAAGAACGGTGGGTTGTTTCACCAAAGGTTCTAGTGTTTTTATAGAAGATTTTTATTTTTAAGGCTTGAAATTGAAGTGCAAGTAGGTATATGTGTGTTCTAGGCCTTGGGGTTTTTTTTAAAAATCTTTCCTATGTTGGAAAGTTGTGCATGTTAGAAGTTAGTAGAGAGTTTTTGTGAACTTGAGCATCTGTATCTCTAAAACTTGTTGAAGATTTCGAGCCATTATGGAATGTCAAGCCAAATAGGTTTTTTGTTCATCCTGTGACTTGTGATTGTTTGGGTTACCCAATATGTTTAACATGAATATTTAAAATATTTTATTATTCTTTTGGTACAAATTTAAATGCCCTCAAAATTGTTCAAAACTCTTGTTATGATTGGATTCTAGCTCCTTTTTAAGCTATAACAACTTTCTCTTCTGTACAAGCAGATCAGGCTTGTGTCTGACCGTAAAGTTCTGAGCCTTAAGTAAATTACCTTTTTTTTTTTTTTCTTCAGGCTGATGATAATATAGCGTCAGAACCAAGGATTAAAAAACTAGAACCAGTACTTTTACCAGGTAGGCATGAATCAGGAATTTGAAAAATACCTCTGTTGGTATTGATTTTGGTATATTTTACTTTTAGCATTGCTAAAGTAAAATTGAGGGAATACTGCTTTTGAGGAGGAAAAGATAATGATATTTGTGTTTGTAGAAGGTTATTCTAACTCACTTGAAATACTCAATAAATACATAGGCAATTTTGCCTGTATGATACTTTGCTACATAAAGAATAATGTCTTGGTTTTATTGTGAGTATTGGAAATGAAACCACTGTTAAGTGTTTTTACATTCTTGACACCTTTTGGGAGACTACTGGTAATTACACTTTCATCAAATAACTATTTACCTGTGTGCAGAACCTAGTTCCAAAGCCTGTGTCAGAGTCTTCCTCTATTTTAAAGGAAAATAGTATTTCCAGTATGTGGTTGACTTCTGTATTGGAAAACTTCTAATGCTATCTTTATTAATTTACTCTTATTGAATATGGTGCTGTTAGTTTGGAATTTGTGTCTTCAGACCTCTACAGAATAACCTTTTTGGGGTGTGGGTGAAATAGATCGCCACTTTTGTTACTGTTCATCATTACATATTTATAAAAATGTAGGGTATTAATGACATCCATATTTTAAATGAGAAATAATCTCTGGTAAATGACAGTTTGATCAATGAGGATTTCTAAAAGCCTTTTTTCAGATATGGAAGGAACAATGTACTGTTCTCAAGATTACTTTCAAAGTAATGTACAGCAAACTGTACATCACAGTAATAAATTTCACTTGGAGTTCCTAAAGATAATTTTGAGCTTAAAACAATGTCATATTACAGTTTTTTCTTAGCATTCAGATTGAATATTAAAAAATATGGATTTACACACACACTGATGTAGGTATAAACAGCTCTTAAAAATTATTTCTGTCACTGCTTTACATGGGTCTGTTGCTAATTAAGCAGTACTAATTGATATGTGATATGGTCCAGTGAGGTACCTAAGAGGCTGAAATACTGTGGAAGAGATTCAGCTGAAAGAGTAAATGCTCTTCATTCAACTGCCTGACATTCTTCATGAAATGAAGAATGGAATAAAACAATGCAGAGTCTGCTTGAGGCATAAATACCTTAAAATACATTGCTGAGATTGCTTGATATTTGAAATAGTTATATTTTTGTGCTTGTAAAACTTCTGCTTACCACTTGGCATCTCACTGATTATGTTGCAGTTGATATTCATCCAAGGCCTTTGACTCACAAGGAAGTGACTGCATGCTCTTCCCTGAGACATTCCACAGCAAACGCACCACAGTATGCAAGTGTTTTGCTCAAAATGTAGCACATCTTGCCTTTGCTGTGGGACCTGGCCATAAGCAGTTACAAAAAGTAATTCCTGTGCTGTCACTTTTTGCAGTATGGCTCATTCTGTATTTGTGAAACTCTCAAGTACTCTTAAAATGGTGCTGACTGGGTTTGTGTTTCTCAACTGGCTTGTATTTATTCTCTCTTTGCATTATTTTCCTTGTCTGCACTCTCTTTGAAGTCAGCATTTGATGGCTTTTGGGACATTTGTAGTAAGTTGCCCCAAGTTATGTAGAAGCCACAGTATGATGCACAGCAGACTTAAAATTTCCACCTCCATATCATTCTAAGGTATTATTTTGAATTATTTGATGATAGGATTCACTGCTCTGTATAGCTACAGAGTACTCTGACAAAATCTGTTCATGGCTTTGTATGAGAGTTGGGAGGGTGTTAGAATGACTTTAAATTACTTAAATGCTGCTCTTCCTGTTTGAAGTTAAGCACCAGCCTAAACACATTTTTTTTGTTTCTGTCATCAACCGTGCTGTAGAAAAGTGTATAAACAAGTACACTTTGTACTGTTGGATAGACTGGCTTTTGGATTTGTCATAACCCAAGTTACTGGCCAAATTCCAACTCATTTAATTATATTAAGGCTGACTTGCACTTCCATGTAAATACAGTTTCAGAATGGCATTCATAATATGCTGTCCTTAACAGTTGTGTGAAATTGCGCTTTTGCTCTCAGGAACAGAGAGATAAACCTGAGTGGCTGAATGTTTGTTACAATTTTTTAAGTAGTGGAGTTTTTAAGGAGTTCTTTTGGAATTAAGTTACATTAGCACAAGCAGGTACTGGCTTTAGTAATCTTCAAAACCTGCGAATGCTTGTATTAAGCTTTTGATTCCTAAAATATAGGGACTCTGTGGGAGTGGCTTGCTTACTGATTCCAAAGGAGCTAAATACCCTGCAGTCTAACTTGTATTTCTGTGCAGAGGAGGTTTGGACAAGGAGTTACAAGCTAGGAAATAATACATCTGGTTAGAAAATGTAGTGGTTTTTTACTAAAAAATAATAATAAAAAAATTAATTTAAATCAACTTTCAACCTGTAGAGTTTGTTTTAAAAGTTTCCTCTGGAGCCCAGAGCCTGCATCTCATCAGAATTTGGAGCAAAAGCCTGTATTCTCGTGGAACTGTATGCTCTGAGGAGGGTGTTTACTGGGAAAAAGAACAAGTATCATTTAAAACAAATAAAAACCTTGGTTGTAAGAGCCAACACTGATACTGCAGTAGAGAAAAGCAAGTAATTTTATAGAATTTGGTATAATTTCATTGCAAAACACGTGATACAGGTTTGAGATGGAGTTATAAAAATGTTTTATTTTTCTTTCTGCAGTTCTGTTTTCCTAGTGTTAGCCTGAATGAGAGTTTCTGCAGAATTAGTTAAGAGTTGGCCTCTGTAACAGTTTCAGTTTTTTTCCCCTTTGTTTGTGTGCATTGCTGGTTTTATAAGCATGGCAAAGAGGAAAATTACAGAAATAGCAGGTAGTCCACCAAGTCAGTCTGTTTACGTGCCTTTCCTGGCTGGTAGGAAATTAGTGTGTGTTCCTTAGGGGAGTGTGGAGTTCAGGTTGTTAAACCTGAAGGTGTGTTTTGTTCTAGTGATCAGCTGTAGCCTGTTTTCCACAAACTGTGTCTGGCATTCTCAAGTCATCAACTTGAGCATTCAAAAAACCTGTCCCGCACAAGTGGACTGTGACTGCAGTGTGTCTCCATGATGTGAATGGCAAAGAAGTGTGCAGAAATCCAATACAGGGATGGACATCAGACCAGTCCGGTGTCTGTACTGGAACCAGTGCCACACTGCGGTTTAGGCAAGACGAGATCCTCCCTGTTGCTCACACGGGGCATTCTGCAGCAGATTATGTAACCAGTGGAGCATCTGATTGAGTGTGAGGATATTACCTCCCAGATCTTAGGGTATGCTTGAATTAGTTAAATTGTTGCTCACTATGCTAATTTGCTAGTAGATAAAGATAGTAGCTGTTACCTGTAAGTTTTTACAAAAAGGCTAGAAATGGTTATAAAATCATAGACTAAACTGAATTAGAATAGTAGCTTGCTAAGGCAAGTTAAAGGGGCAGTGGTGGTGAGGTGCTGTTGAAAGCAATTATGCTCAGGCTGTTGTGTCTGCCCCGTTTCCTGGTCAGACGGCAGAAGTGAGCCTTGGAGCCGTCACTGGTGTGGTCACACCGTGACCGTGGGTGACCAGCAGGGCAGGTGTCACCTCTCGCTGCCGGTGAGCGCTCCAGCTGCTCCCTCTGCCCTCCCTGCAGTGTGGCACGGGCACGTTCCTCTTGCAGGAACCTAATGGGGACACCCAAGTGAGTAGTGACAGGATATCACAGAACAGTGCTGCCGTGTTCAGCTCCTCTTATTGGAGTTGTCTTACTTGAATCGATGCAGTTGCTTTCTATGGCTGTGTAAACATTTATCACCCACAGCCTCACATGGTACCAAGTTCTGCAGTTCAATTACATGCTGTTACAACTCCTTTTAATTGTTTTTTCTGAAATTTCCACCATCCAGTTCCTTTGGATAAATCCTAGTTCTTACAGGACACAACAAACATCAAGCCATATTCCTCCATTTCATGCAAGCTGTGAACTTCAGACGTGTGTTATATGTCCACTTTGTTTTGCTTCCCTTTAGCTTAATTGTCTTAGTTGGTCCTAAAAATGAAGTTTCCCATATCTTTAATCAACTTTTTGATTAATTCTGAACATTTTTTGGTTGTACTGAGTTCCTGGTTTTTGCTGAGGTGGAATTACGTATCATGTTCAAGATTTTTGCCATTGCATATATTTGGCTTTTTATTTAATAATGCTGACTGACTTTGCCATCTGCTTTTTTGATTTTTCTTGGATTTTTAAAGTATATGTGCTTTAGAAAGGCAAGTGACTATAGAAATTTAATTTTGGGAGGTTTTTAAGACTGTATCATGGAAAGATTCAATCTTTTAGAAGAGTCTGTTTCTCTCGCAAGTTAGCTCCCAGCTCTTTTGTTTTTTTCTGCTTTCTGCAATTCCTTATTACATTGAGTCATGTGTTCCAGAGCAGCTGCAACACATCATGTGATAGGAGAGGGAAATCCACTGTTCATTGAGGCAACCTTGTGCATTTGTGCCCCAGGTACGTTCTTTTCTCACTGCTTTGGACGCCTGCACCTCTTCCTTGGCATTTTCGTTTGGTCTGTGGTGTGGCAGAGCAGAGTGCTCGCTGGGCAGGGCAGGGATTGGGTGAGCTGGGGCCCAGGTTAATGAGGTTAATGGGTAATCCCCGAGATCAGTGGGGTCTGCCCTGCTTGGTTGTCAGTAATCATTTTTCCTTAATGCCTCCAAGGGAAAACTGAGGCTGTTTAGCTGGTCCAAGTGCTGTGCTGTAACTGTCGGTGCCTTTTCCTGCGGATATTTCTGGAATGAGGTATGGATATTCAGGAAGGCAGTGCCTGATCTGTTAAGCATGTGCATGTGTTGCTGGTGAGTGCTGATAGCACCTGTACAGAACTTGCCCTGAAGGCAGCTCCTCACTGTTCCAAAGCACTCTGAGCTGTTGATTTTCATTTCCAGTGTTGTGACATGCTCGCCAAGGCTCGCTCCCTCCTTGTGCAGCTGAGTAAGGTGTCATATTGCAGGGTTAGGGCTTTTTCCCTGCATCGAGT